ATTCTCAGACCATGTTTATCTTGAGAAACTGGATGGTTTAATCTGAGAAGTGCTTTATAATCAAAAAGAACCAGGTTTGTCATCAGCATGAGCAATCAATCACCGCTGCTAAAGATCAATAAAAACCGAAATCCAAGGGTGTAATTTCCAGAGAATTCACGGTTAGAGCTGCCATGGGAACTGTTTGCCGACCTGTCGAGTCTTGTTCTTAACTTAATCCCAATCTCAGCCACGTTCCTGTTTGTTTTTCCACTGAATGCACAAATCCTCTCCACCGCTGCCAACACAGAGGAGATGGTGCCATTCAGCAGAAAGCACGGGCTGTGGGGGCAGAAGTGAGAAGAACCCGTTTTCAAGCCTGTGCACACACGACATTTCATGGAAAGTGGGTGTGATCACCTCAATTAGGAAAATACCTCCACCAGTGAAAAAGGCAGCAGCAATTACGAGGGACTCATTAGTAATACTGGGTTAGGACTTTTCATGGACATGTTGTTCCATGTCATTATGCATCACATCATATCTGTAGATGTGTCAGCTGCCAATCTCCTCTTCTACCACATTCAGTGTTTTCTATTGGATTCAGATCTGGTGAGTCAGACTTTTGCTTCTTGACACGGTGATAAAGTGATGCATCAGATATGGCAAATAATTGGTATCGAGTTGCCAAGAGTGTGTCAAGAAAACATTCCACACACCATTACACAAACATGGATTCCATATTGTTGATTCTTCATTCTGACTATCATCTGCATGCCAGGAATACATTTAAATACATTTGACCAAATACATGTTCCCAGATGTGTAGATTTTCTGCTGTCCTGATGTCAATGGGGAGTTCATCCCGCCATTTTTAGCCAGGTCAGCAAACACTCATGATTTTGTTGAGTGGTTAGCTCGCAGTGAGGGAGCAGCAAGCCGACTGGCCAATGCAGAGCAGAGTGGACGAGCTGGGGTGTAAGTTTTAACCATGTCCTGGATGTAGACTGGGCCTGATCCATAACCAGTGAAGAGAGCGTGACTGAACTTAGGAAGATTGAAGACCAGTCGAGCTGCTGCATTCAGCCAGGAGAGAGTTGCAGTAGTCTACGTGTGAGATGACCAGAGCCTGGACCAGAACCTGGACCAGAACCTGGACCAGAGCCTGTGCCGTCGTCTGAGTCAGAAGTGGACGTATTCTTCTGTCGAGTGTCACACCCTGGTTCCTTGCGGTCTGGGTGGGGTTGTCAATGGTGATAGTGAGGTCATGGCCCTTCTCTGGAAGGAAAAGTAGCTCAGTCTCATCAAGGTTGATTTTGAATTGGTGTGCGGACGTCCACTGAGAGGTGTCAGTCAGCCAAGCGGAGATTTGTGATGCACACACTAAGCAACTGTACTCAGATAGGTTGTGACATTCAAATGATGAATTGTTGTGTCAGGTTGTCAAAGTGTGCCCAGACAACATTCCACACATCACAGATTGTTGACACCAGGCAGGTTGGGTTCATAGATTCATGCTGCCAATGTCTCAATCTGACTCTATCACCAGTCTTCAGCTGTTTCTTTCGACTGAACCTGTGTCCACTGCAGCTTTAGATTTCTGCTCCTTCCTGATTTGAGCGGAACAAGATGTGGTTTGTCTGCTGCTGTAGCTCATCTGCCTCAAAGTCTGAACATTCACCACAGTAAAACCTACAGAGACTGTTGTGTATGAATCTTCCAGCCTGTTTGGCACCGACACTCGTGCCACAATCAAGTCACTCAGATCACATTTTTCCTCCATTCTGATGATTGATGAGAAGATTAACTGAAGCCCCTGACCTGTCTCTGCATGAGTTTATGCATTATACTGCATTGACTGTATAACTGCATGAGCCAGAGTTGCACTCAGTCGAGCACACACCTCTGTCAAATCTCAACAGTCCACTTAGATTTAACCAAGCTGCACAAAATTACGCACACTCTATATATATTAGTCACCTAAATATATCAGATTTTGTTTCTCATCCAGGTCCATGAAATTGGTGGATACATTTTTTACAAAGATCTCACAATGTGACAGAAAGTGAATCTGTTTCCAAATTCAATGGGTTCTTTCTTGACCCGTATTCCGTAGTCATGTTTCTGTCGCATGCAGCTCACAGAGCAAACCTGAATCTTTCTGATCGAACAGGAGCTTCTTTGTTGTTATTTATGTAAAGCAGCTGGGACACAGTGGAGGACATGTTTCTATTCCCTGGTTAATGGCTGAATTAGTATGTGTTCATGTTGACTACAGCAGCTCTACAGAGATAAAATCCCGCTACGTATTTGGCCACTTTCTGTGACTCTCTGACGTTTCTGTTTTTTATATTTCCGGTGACAACAAAATGGACCCAATAGGCAAGAGCAACACTTGTATCTGTTCTCTTCATAAGCTGCAACAGGACTCCTCATGCCACCGCATTAACTGCACTCTGAGTCACAGCTAATTACACAGGTGAAATCAGAGGGCTGGGTTGAGTGAAAGCTTGCACGCCACAATGCGTACAGCTCGCCTCAGCTCCAACTAAAGCTAAATTTACTAACTGACTTTCCATTGGTTGTTATGTGTAAGTCTAAAATATCTATTTTTTTTCAAAGATGTCATCCTGCATAGGAAAGAACTGCAGCACAAGGTCCAACATCCTGATGGACAGGACGTTACCTCTTAACCTTTAAAGAACTCAGTTGCTGTCGTCTTGTTTTTAAACTCTACTGATTTCTTTATGTTCACCCTCCTTTCAATCAAACAATGTCAAATCTATTTTTGCACTATTCCGGTTTGCACCACTCATATCCTACCTACCCTGTGTCTTTTTACTGAGTACTATGTTGTGTATCTACAGTACATGCCACTTGAGTACTCTGTCTTATGTGTGTCTCTCTGTCTTATTTGTGTCTCTTTGTGTGAGCTACTGGATATCTGATTTTCCCCAAGAAGTATCTATCTATCTATCTATCTATCTATCTATCTATCTATCTATCTATCTATCTATCTATCTATCCATATATCCATCTATCCATCCATCCATCTATCTATCTATCCATCCATCTATCTATCTATCTATCCATCTACTTATATCTTGAGTTCTCATATGTCTACTTGTATGTTTACGATGTCATTTCAGTCCCGTCTATGTCTTGCACATGTGGCAGAAGTTGACTATAATTGATTATGACTTGAAATGTATTAAAATGTGAATCAATCTATGAACTTACTGATTTCAATATTAT